AAATCAATCAACAACCCATTGCTAAAATAACAGGAACAAATTACCACCCATACATATTAACACTGAATATAAATGGATTAAACTCATCAATTAAAGATCCTAGATTAGTAGACTGGATTAAAAAACAAAATCCTCTGATTTGTTGCCTACATGAGATACATCTCACCAACAAAGATCAGCAGAAACTATGTCTCATGGATTGTGATATTGTTAGCTTCATTTCTTCAAAACATGTTTTATTTCTCATTAAATTCTTCACTGACTCATAAATCATGCAATAGCATCATTTTCTTCAAAAAGATTTTTGATTTTCTTTTTCATTTCTTCAGAAACACATTAGTCATTCAGTAGCATGTTAACTTCATGGCACTGTAAATTTCTACTTTTTCTTTCTCATGGTGATTTTGTTTTGTGACTTTTCATTTAAGGGAATGTATAGTTATCTGTGTAATGAAGGGAATGTATAGTTATCTGTGTAATGAAGGGAATGTATAGTTATCTGTGTAATGAAGACCATCATATCCTGTGGCATGCTGTTTGACTTCATGTAATTGTAAAATTCTGTTTTTCTTCTTGTACATTTTGTTTTGTGGCTATTCATTTGGAAAGCTTTATAGTAACTGTGTAGTGGAGACTGACATGTCCAGATGTGAGTGTACGGTGCAGTGTGCATCACTACTTCCAGATTGAGGATGGACTCCCAGTGAAACTGTTGGACATGTCATGGCAATAGGATGCTGGACTCTGCCACTGTCCATGCTTGTAATAATGGAATTATGACTGTCTATGAGGAACAATGCTGTTGTAATGATATGGGAGAACTCAGGGCAGGGGAGAAATAGGGTAGGTATTAAAGAAATCTCAGGGCCTATGGAACTGTATCATACAATGATAATAATATGATAATAATAGAAAAGGCCAACTTATAAAAAAAGGTAGGCAAATCATCTGAACATTTCTCTAAAGAAGATATACAAAAGCTATCAATCACATGAAAAACTTTTGGAATATCTATTTTAATTTCTTCTTTGACCTTATGGTTGTTTTAGATGCTACCATTTAATTTACATACACTTCTGGATTTTCTAGCTTTTTTTTTTTGATGTTCACTTTTGAATTTCTTGCTAGACAGGTATAGTGGTGATAAATTTCACCAGGTTTCGATTGGTTGGGGGAGTATTCTTCTCACTTTTGCGAAGGACAAGTTTTGGTGCGATTGGTTGGCCACTCTTTTCTTTCAAGCATGTTGAGTGTATAATCTCACTGTGTCCTGTGATTCCTCCAAATATTTGCTTAAAAATATAAGCTGTGTACTTGGGTATGACCACTCTCAAGATCATATTTCCAGTTAGGTGTAGTCTGTCAAATTTGATTTCTTTTGGGCCAGGCGGTGTGGCCTAGTGGCTAAAGTCCTCACCTTGAATGCACCAGGATCACATATGGGCGCTGGTTCTAATCCCAGCAGCCCCACTTCCCATCCAGCTCCCTGCTTGTGGCCTGGGAAAGCAGTCGAGGACGGCCCAAAGCCTTGGGACCCTGCACCTGTGTGGGAGACCCAGAAGAAGTTCCTGGCTCCTGGCTTTGGATCAGCATAGCATTGGCCATTGTGCCTACTTGGGGAGTGAATCATCGGATGAGAGATCTTCCTCTCTGTCTCTCCTACTCTCTGTATATCTGACTTTCCAATAAATAAATAAATCTTTAAAAAAATTTTTGCATTCCTTTTCTTCATCCTGCAAATCCAGACCAGAGAAAGCTTTGTTTGCTCCAGGACACTTGCTGTTCATGGGTATATACTCATTGATCCACCCTAGACAGTCACATGAGATGCTGTCACAGAACATGAATCACAGAACATTTGGAGTGTTTGTTGGCCAACCTGTGGGGTACAGTCCAGCTGTATCAAATTGCTCACCAGCAGAATTCCTTATGGAGTCTGAGGAGTGACTAGTGAGTTCTCAACCTCCCTCTGCCATTCAACCATGATAATTGCTTCACTACTCTGGAAGGAGTGAAGAAAAAATTTGCCTACTAGAAAATATTCCACAGTGTTGGAGAGGATGAGAATTCATTATGCTGTTACTTTGCATTGACATCCCTTGAGAGGTACAAAGCGGCCTCTCTTGGCATTGAATTGTGTCTTCTTAGGGAAAGGTGATGTGGAAAGAATGAAGCTCTTCCTCCTACCTTCTTTAATGTAACTATTTAAAAATTGTGTGGTATAATTTTTTGCTGAAATTTCTCCACTGAATTACTGGGTAGCCACAAAGATATCCTAATTCATGGATAGTTGTCTAAATGTATACTTACATAGGATAGTGGTAGAAATCCCTCATCCCACCATCTTGGTGAAACTGCTCACATCTTACTTTTGTTAACTGACTAGGAGGTGGAAAGAGGAGGAACTGGAAACCATTACAGGAAAAGGTGTCTCACAGTGTGAGGAGGAGCAGTTCTAAATATTTCAGAATATTCTATGAGTTACTTTCATTCTTTGTCTTTTCACCTTGATATATTTATGCTCTATTTTGTTGTAGCAGGAAGAAAAAATGACTTTCCTTTAGTCTTACCATAAACTTTAAGTATACTTACCTCGGTCACCATATGAGATGTCTAAAGGTTAAAGAAAACAAAAAAAAATTGATTAATTTCTTTTAAAGATACTTACATATTAACTTTAGCAGTAAAATATCTCATTTATTTACCACTTTCTGTTGAATATGAATGCTTGAAATCTAAAAAAGAAGATGGAAATATTATATAATGAGATTCTACCTTAATAAATATATATACATTGTTTTTGTGTTAGATGATTTTTTTTTTTTTTTTTACCTCTTGCTCTTTTAGATCTCTTGGAGAAATAATCTGGAAAAGAAAAAAAAACTTACTTACAGCCTATCAAAAATACCATTCATAAAATATCAATAAAATATTTGCCACTTTTCCAGATACTCTAGTTTTTCAGAGGGGGCTTTATTTTGGAGAATAAGCAGTTCCTTTGTTCGTTTCATTACTTATGACAGAAAGAGTTAAATAATGGCCAAGTTAGCTTCCCTTTTCATTCCTCAGCTCTTGAGAATTTATACATTTATGGTATGTGTTTAAGTATATCCACATCCACAACGTTAGGACTTCATAATTCTAGTTTTGTCAGTATGCTTAGTGAGACCAAATTTAGTAATTGCTGAGAAAAATTAATGAGTTTTGAAGAGTTTAGGAGTTAGATCCTATGGGGGTACAGGGTACATTTACTGAAAGTTCTGGTGATGGATGTTGACAGAGAATAGTGAATTTTGAGGCTATAGGGTCAAGGATAGCTATGATACAATAAAATCAGTGGTATTTGTGTTTCTGCAAAAAGGTAACAGTGCCTTGGATTTTCCTTACATTGAGACACTCTAAAGTGGTTTTTCAAATGTGCTTTATTATTAATCTTTATTCATATGAAATCACATCTTCCAATTTGAGAGATGTCATTAACCATTTAATAAATGGTTCAACATTTAGTAAATGTTGAAATTCTATAACATGTAATGAGCCAAATTTTTGCCCAAAATAGAGGTACTATGATATAATAATATGAGTAATAAATTCAGTAATAAAATCTGGTCTTAATATCTAACTCCTTCCTTAATAAGTATTCTTAGATAAGTTTCAGACCTTATTAGCATTACTTTTAACTTCTAAAATGTAAATAATAATTTTTTCTGTAATAATGTATGGTTTTCAAATGTCTTTTAATATATACTATTCCATTCCATACGTAATTCACCAATCTGTGAGTTATCCATCTTATCCTCATTTAAACATCTAGAAAACTGCTCTTAACCTTTCTAATGTCTTAAAGGCAAGTAAGAGCTGGAAATGAATTACTTCATGACCATAGAAGGGGAAAATATTTTCCTTTTCTAGAAAAAATGCATAGCTCTATCTCATATATTTGTACACATCTGTATTATATGCAAGGAACCTTAGAAGTTCATGGTAAATTTGCATTCTCTCTTAAATTCATGCTTGATGAACCATTCAAAGTCTTGTTACATAGTCATGGAAGATTGGAGGGAGTTAGATATATCGCAGGAGCGAATGCATGCTAACAAAAAATCATGCTCAAACAGAAATGAATCTATTTCTTCTCCAATGAGCACATTTCCCCTTTAATTCCCTAGTAGTTCCTAACCTATTTACCTCTGTCATCCTCAGAGTCCAGAAGGCCAGCACCTAAGCAAAAAATGAAAGAGAAGTCCATGTTTGCTTCTTGCTTGTTAGTGGGGATTTATTTCAGACCGAAAATTGGTATAAACCCAAATTCTTTTACTTTACGGAAACTAGGGATTATGGTTGGTAATAGGAGCAGATGATAATAGGTGATTGTCACAAGTTTCATTATATGCGGCTACATGATGATCAGAAGGACCTTCAAAGTTGCTCTTACTTCTTGGTATTTAAACATCTAGCTCTTGATTTCCCTCTCCTACCAGTGACAGAGTACATTTTTTAGTATTCCAGGTGTTTTTCCAACACTTATCATGGAATTCTGCTTTGCTTCTTTACATCTTGAGCATCTCAATAATAATCATCTCAGTTGTGCTTACATTATTCCTGAATAGTTTAAATTAACCTATCCAGACGACTTACTAAGGCCCTTTTTACCCCAGACTTATATCTTGTGCACAGCGCCCTCTGCTGCTGTGCCTGAGGCCCCCATTTCTCTGCCTTGGAAGCGCTCTTGCAGCTCTCAGATTCCGGGAAGCATCTCAGTGCAGCTGTAGAAGCAGGCATGTTCCCACTGCTGGGAAGTCCTCAGCAGTAATTCACGCGGACAAAGACACTTTGACATTCAGTGCTGCTCAGAAGTCTGGCAGATTTCTGCTAACTTAGAAGTTCAGTTCACAGAATGAAAACTATGTAAAACAGCGGAAATACAACGATGAGTAAGACATTTAATTCGTGCCATCTGAACATTCCTTACATGCTTTACGTAGTCATGTAAGTACTTACTCTGCTCTGAACTGTATCTGGAAATATGAGTTTCTGTGGAAGAAATGTGCAAAAATGGTTTTACTGTAAGAATTGTTCTCCCCCAAACCCAATTTTCTTCACTGTAAAGTGTGCTTCTTTGCTGCTAAGGTGGTCTTTCTGATACACTACGTTATTAGTTCTCACTTTTCAGGGGCTTAGCCAGCTGTAGTCTGTCTTTTTATGCTACTTAATCTCAGTTACAGAATATTGCTGATTGGAAGGGAATGGCAAAACATTTAGAAAAATCTTAGGAAGATGGACTTTATGACATGGAAAAGGTCTTTGCTTTTATAAACCTTATCTGTTTCATTGGCAAGTACTATTCTATTTGTCTCATCTTACCATCTCTATGCTAAATCACTAAAAGTTTCCAAGTCTCTCTATATATTAGATATCAGTGAGTACTAGAATAGTATCATCTATCTTTCATTTTATGTTTTTATGTGAGTAATATTTCTTGAAGCGTAGTTTGCTTTTAAAATGTTTTTGTTATTATTGCTTAACACTCTGAGTCAGAGACATAAATTCTCACAGGGAGGCTAACTGCCTACATGTGGATGTACTGAACACTTGGCAGTGACCCAGTCTTTCAGCAGGTCGGGCTGAGGGTCTTGGGATGTTTGGAAGAGTGGAGAAATTTGCAAAATGGATGGGACTGAGGGAACTTTTTGAGGGCATTTCTGGTCTTGGTAGGCTTTGTGCCTTGGGGCCAGGTGGTTGAAACCAATGCAGAGGGTCAGTGGGGTAGTATAAGGCAGAGGTTAGACTGGCTCTTTGGAGTGCAGAGCAAGGCCCTGATGGGGATTCTAGATTATTCCGGGACAGTAAAGCTGAGGCTTGTGTCCTTGCTCCATCAATCTAGAATCTGTGTACAGATGACGGAAGTGAAACACTGGTTTCTGGCTGCTTCCTGCTGATAAAGGCTGATGACTGATGGTGTAAGCTTCGAGAATTTAAAAGTGCAAGGGAAACCACTACTATTTCTTGACTCTTACATTGAGATAATCTCTGTCTAAAAAGTGGAGATAAACTCTGACTGACTCTCAGTGCTCCTCCCTCTGACTTTCACAGAGAATCGCCATTATGATACTATATTACTTACCATTTCGCTTGCGTCGTGTCCATCTTGCTAACAAAATAGCCAGAACAGCAAGTGCCAGTAGAGTCAAGACGACAGCCAACGTTATTTCTGAAACAAAAACTAACCTGTAGGCCTTCTTATTTGGGCCAGCTCATTATCAGAGGCAACTTCTGGTCACTTCCTACTGTCCACTAGATTGTCTTTTCTTTCTCCTTGCTGCTACTTTGACTCCTGAATTCCTTTGTCTTTCTCATTTTACTGTCCTCACTTCCCTGCCCTTACTCATTTCTTATCTTTTGTGTTAGTTTCTTTGGTTACATAGTTCAAGGAATTCAGAGGCTGTTCCCCACAGTTTAGAGCAGAAAATTAATTGAATCAATTACTTCAAGACAAAAAGTTAGAGGGAATCAGTGGTTTTCAAAACAACCCACAAGTATGTGAGGTAGAATACATCCTGCTGTAACTGTTCAGGTTCCTTTTGTGTGTAATTTATTTGCATTCAGTTGATATTTGAGAAAATCTTGTAGTCATAGGAAAGGAAAAAATTAAATAATTAGACAACTTTCCATGATTTTGAGGAACAGAGAATATTAAAGTTTTTGGAGAACAGACAAGGTGAGGGGAAGAAATAGGAATAAGGGAAAAAAAAGGATGAAGTAACATTTAATCTATTTTATACAATGAAAAATTTGAAGAATATAAAATCCTGAAAGGCTAATGACGTGGTGTTACACCAAGATAACAACTACTTCAAATTTTCTCTTAGAGAAAAAAGAAAAAAAATTCGTGGTAAAATCAGAATAAACCTCTAGAGAGTAATATTTCCTTGAATAGTTTCTCAAATACTCTATCCTTAGGGTGGTAAGATAATGACCTACCTCAGCTATGAGTAAATAACAAGAAACTACTATTTTTCAGATTTGAAATATAGAATGGACACTACTATAAGAGGTGAATTAATGGGCTCATGAATTTTCTTATTTTTTTTTCATTGATCAATTCAAACCTCAGAAACCATGGGAAACAAACTAGTGCTATCACTTTGGAGCTGAGTTGTCTGTAATTCATTTCTCACAAACTCACAAAGGAAATAATAAAAGAGAAAGAATTGGTATTGAATTTGACAAAAAAGGAGGGAAGGAGGGTAATGGAGTTGTGTTAAAATTCAAACAGAAGCTTCCTGGATAACAGGGTCAAGGAATCCTCGGAGAGGGAGCTGATCCTTACCCAAAGCTGACATTCTCCAGGTACTGTCTTCACCAAGGTCCTTGTCATCTGGATTTCTTTGTCAGAGGCAGATCAAGGTTGCATGAACAGCTCAAACTCACAATTTCTGAAGAGTAGAAATTTGAGTGTCAGGCAGGCCCTTATAGAAACAGATATGTAAAGTTACTAAAGAATTTTATAGCTCAGGATATCAGATCAAAGAAAACTAGGCTACTGTGTTCTATGAAGGTTCTGGAATCTGTGTCATAACAAAGACTTAGAACTTCAGAAAGTTACCAGGAAAGAAAAGAAG